TAATATCATGGTAGGTAGAGTTATAGACATTTTCTATGGCATGGCAGGTTCGGGTTAGACATCTACTGGTGGTGAAGCCCTTGGAGGAAATATATCCTGTCTGGGAAGGTGAACCCCGACGTGTAGACGTCGATATAAAGATGCATAACATGATATGCGATATTCTGGATGGAAGCTTGGATGAGGGGTTCTGGGAATCTCCCAAAAACGTAGGTGGCGATACAACAGGTGGCGCTTCAACAGTTCAGACGCCGAAACAGTCGAAGACGAAGTTGGAAACTCCACGCGTGGAGAAGAAAAAGAAAGAGAAGGTGAAAGAGGCTGAAGCAACGGATTCAACTCCGAGAAGCAAAAGGAGAAGGGAAAGAGAGGCAAGGAAAGAAGAGAAGGAGAAAAAGAAACGTAAGAAGGAGGATGAGGAAGAAGATGATGATTTTAACTCGCCGGTAAAGCTACTAAAGGATGCAATTGAAGAAAAGAGAAAGGAGAAAAGGGAAAGAAAGGAAAGAAAAGAAAGAAAGGAGAAGGAAAGAGAGAAGGAAAGAGAGGAGCAGGAGAGAGAGAAGCAAAGAGAGAACGAGAGCAAGAAGAAAGAGCCCGCTGTGGAGAAGGAGGATAGGACGAATGAGATCCTCATGGCAATCAATGGTTTATCAACGACGGTAGCATTGCTAAACAGCAATGTCAGCAGTGCTGTAATTCGTATAGACCACCTGGATAAGAGGATTGCCGTTATCGAGGATAAACATGAAGAGAAAGAGGAGGCCATGGCGAATTCTGGGAACAAGGTTGAAAACGACCATGGTAACCGTGATGATAATGCCGGTGATGCAGATTCCAAAACCTCACCGAAAACCCCTAGAGCAAAGGCATCTCCTCCAGCAGCAGCGCCAGTAGCAGGAACGTCAACGGGAGGTGGAGCAGGAACGGGAACGGGAGCTGTGGAAAAGGATCCGGTACGCAAGTTTCTCTTCTAATGTCATGGAGACAACATTCAACTATGTTTAAACAGATCGTTTTCCTTTCCTTTATGGTAGATTTGTACGATATACTTTTTTACTTTGGTAGACTTGTATTGATGGTTTTTTTTAAACTTTTCCTGCACAGTAGACTTTTAATGTTTTCTTGGAATACAAGACTAACTTTATGTGGTAGATTTTTGGCAGTGATATTTATATTAGGTAGATTTATAATTAATTCGGTAGATTTTTAGGTAGATTTAGTTATGTTATTATTTGGTTTGACTGATGTGAAATTACTATACATGCCAAGCAGTCGTGGATGATGGAGATGCAGGAAACATCAGAGCCAGGTTTTCCTGTTGCAAGAGTTGTTAGAACCCCAGCGTCGAGAGGAAAGACTGTAACCAAAGTGAAAAAAGAACCTGCTGATCCTAAAGAGAAGAATAAATCAGGCACGAAGTCAAAACCTGATTTAAAAGACAAAAACGAAGAAAGCCAGATAATCAATATAAGCGACGTTTCACGCCCCTGCCCTGCAAGACGAAGACGAGTACAGATCCCTTCCCTGCAAGACGAAGACGACTCAGCGATTGAAGCTATGAAGAAACGCTTAGATAAGCTGGTGGAACATGCAAAAAATCCACCTGCTGAGAAGGAAAAAAGGGGACGCAGCCTTGCACCAACCCAGGTTTCACCCTACCTTGGTAACTCAGTGGTGAGACGCATCATGGACCCACCAGGTCCCCCTCCTGGGAGGTATGATCCTTTTGAAGCGTGGACAGTCGAATACTGGAGAATCTAACCCGCTACGTAGCTTTTGA